AAACCCACTTTTGCCATTCAGCATAGTCACCTCGGCGCTGCATGCAATAAGCGACTGACGACCTGCGACCGAACAGAGCGAAACTCACTGGGTTCACGAACCAGACAGGAGTTCGAACGAAGTTGACAATCGAAGTTGACGGCTCCTTCACCAGATGCGGGATAAGTTGAGCACTGCCACACGTCAATAAAATGCAATAAATATGTAGCAGCGAAGGCCACTCACGCCGAACACCCATTGCCGATGACAGCTGTACGCTTGTTCCGGAAATCCACCGAGTGGTTCCAGCGAGCCGTGTGGAACATGTCTCCCTTGAACCGTTCCACGCCTTTGAGGTCGGTGGGAACCTTTGGCTCGGAAAGGAGACCCAGGGCACCAACGAAGACCTGCGCGGTAGTGACGCTGCGCTCGCCGGTGCGGACATTTTCGAGCTCGATGCGGTACACCTGCTCGCTGTTGTCCCATACGGCCCGGTTGACCTTCGTGTTCAAAACGACGTGGTCGTACAGGTTGTACTTGGCCGCGATGTTCTTCCAATAAGCTTGCAGCTCAGGCTGCAAGACGTGCGTCCGGCTCCAGTTTGGGTTCAGGTCGGTGGACAAGCTGTACCAGTGAGTAGGAACGTCTGATGCGCAACCCTGCATCCATCGTCTCTGTGAGTCCTGCTCCCCAATCGTTATCGTAGTGGCGTACCGGATACGTGTTGTCCTTGAGATGGCGAAAGTCTGTCAGTCTCTACTTGCGCAGGACCAGTAGAGGATCGGCTTACTCTCCATGTACCTCCGATATCCGAGGCTTTCTCGTAGATCTTCGATGATCGTCAACGTTAATCCCCAGGAGGGTTAACGGGAGTCCTTACAATGAAATTGTTGAACCCGAGCTGGCGCTTGAGGGCAATCCCAAAGGACAATCCACCAAGTCTACGGGCCGTGCCATCAGTAAATTGGCAAGGATTGAAGTGTTTCAGACCACTGACCCTCCACCCATTATCACTACCCTTGGGGTAGAAGACCCTGCCGAGACGTCCTTTGCGAAGGCCATTGCGCACGAAGGTAGACGCGCTTTCGAACCGAGGAGGAGAGAGATGATAGACCCCGGATGGTGAGAGTGCTCGCCATCTTATAGGTTCGAGGGATGATACGGTAGCAGTGAGATAACGCTCACGATGAACCCCAGTGACAGCATATGTCGCGGGGATGCCATTGCTGGCCGCGCTCGTCAGTACCGAAAATGTATAGACTTGACATAAAGGCACAGGTTTGGCGTCATAAAAGGCCACGCAACGGTCGCGAGAAGATCTGGATCGTTAAGTTTTCACATGATAGCAGGTTCGCAATAGCTGCATCGGCCTAGCCCGAAACCGGTTCGAGCGGAGATGCGGGCGTCTCGGGAGACAACGAGGAGAGCTGCACGGAGACTCTGCCAGTTATACGCCGATCATGGCCGGTATGCAGAATCGCAACGGATTTCTCCCAAGTCAGCGACTTCATTTTCCAAAAATAGCAAATACCGCGGGCTCGTGGCCTGGGTGGCATTCGGTCAGCGAGCCTTCTGGCCGAGGGAGTGGGCCGTACCGCGTGTGCGATTCCCGAGACGTGTGATGGAGTATTCCGGCCGTTGTGCCGTGAAAACTGGTTTTGGGACAACTGAAAGACATCATTTCCCTGGTCATCATGGCGTAAAACCGGCCGATAAACCTGAAAATCCACAGAAAATCCTAGAGCTGAAACCCCTGCAACTCTGCCCGCAATTTCCCCAACTGGGGCATGCAGGGTCGATTGGAGGGTTCCGGAAGCAGAGCCTTCGTACTGCAACATTGTTGGGCTCATTTTTGCTCGCAGCAATCCATATGATCATTAGCCGCGTGTTTGTGTCATTCGAGGCATAATGCGCAGAAGAAGCAGGAGGCATAGTAATGACGCAGATGGGCGCAGATGTTCCGCAGGTATCTGTCTTCAGAAACTAGCCTAGATCACAGTGTCTCGGTGTTCCAGGACCGAGAAAAGATACAGTCATATCGAACAAGACCACGGCTCGCATCACAGCGCAGCATCTTGTCGCCTGATCCTACAATCACCGAGTCTCGCCAGCGCGTTCCAAAGGGGCATTCGGCGAAGTTCATAGCAGGGGCAGATTGGCAAACAGGCTATGCCGGTCTGGCTCCACTTGACGGCCACGGCGAGGCCTCAGATCGAAATGAGAGCTTGGGGGTGCCATGGTCTCACGAACAAATAGATGACAGTTTCGCAAGGATTGGATTAGAGAGGCGCTGTAGGTGTGGATCCCTGACCGACGACCGCTCTGAGCAAGCGGATGGATCGTATGGATTTGCGACTGGGGAAAGGGGGTACAGGGTAGAAAATCTTCATCAAAAGGACTAGAATCTAGCGAGACCAACGTGACAATACTGAGCAGCGGAGCAAGACGGGGCCGAGCGAGAGCCTGCGAGACCGTGACCGAGAGCGGCCGCGGATGCTGAGAGAGCAGGTCAGCGGCGCGCGCTCCCAGGCCGACGTGTCCAAGACGTGGCCTCCGTCGATTCTTCATGAGTTACTCCGTCCACAAAAGTCGTTCCCCCAACCTCTCTCATCTTTCGCATATCTCAGGGCAAACCCTGTAGAGTCGGTCATTGCGCATGTACCCGCATCATCTATACGTTCTCGCCCTTGGTCTCCTTCTCGGCCCGCACGCAAGCGCTAGTCAGCAATCAAGTCAGTCCGATACCCTGCTCAGGAGAGAGCAAGTACAAGATGTCCTAGACTACAAACCACCGAAGGACCCAGGTTGCACACAATTTGTATGTCGTCCCGTTGCACTGCCTGCATGTCGACTCAACATAATCTTGTGCAACCAGCCTACAGGGCCGATAGAAACTACCTCATGCGATTTCGAGACGATCGAGAGCGTGAACGAGGACCTGTACTCGGAGCTACACAAGCTTGTAGAAACGCCATTCTTCAAGTACTTCCGAGTGAGTCTCATCCTCCTGTGTACACCGGGGACGACTCAGTCTTTTGTCACAGGTTGACCTGTACAGAGAATGTCCATTCTGGCAGGATAACGGTTTCTGCATGAACCGGGAGTGCGGCATCACCACTGTAGATGAGGTATATGCCAATCACATATCATGCATAACGAAGCTTGACTCTCTTCCAGAGCGAGATACCCGAAAGATGGCGGGCAGCGGCGCTCAGTAAACTTGAGATGCCTCCGGAATCTGAGGTATGCCGTTCCGAAAACAATCCTTTCCATCTGCTCACCAACTAAGCTGACTTGAACAGAGCACCGTTCTCCCCGGATGCTACTACCGCGACTCCGACTACTGCTTCCTGGATGATATGACGGGTTAGTGGGTTAACCCTGTTCCACCTCGCCCCCGCTTATCATATCTTCTTAGAGGGTGACTACATCGACCTCTCTATGAATCCGGAGCGCTTCACTGGCTACACAGGGCCATCTGCACACCGAGTCTGGTCGTCAATTTATCAGGAAAATTGCTTCGGCATGTCCGAGCCGAACCTTCTCTCCTCCAACTCACCAAATCCAGGCCTGATGTCGTCTCCGGATTCTATGACTGGTGCACTCAGTGCTGAAGGGGAAGAGCAAGCGCGAGAGTGTTTGGAACGACGCGTCTACCACAAGATTATCTCAGGTGAGATTTATGACACTCTTCAATCGGTCCATGGCTAACAAACCCACCAGGTCTTCACACCAGTATCTCTACGCATATTTGTCATGACACCATGAATCAGTCTACGGGTGAATGGGTATGTTCGATCTCACTCAGTTATGTGTGCACGCATGTCACTAAGGTGGCTCACTTTTAGGGTCCCGATCTGAAGTGTTTTATCTCGCGAGTGGCTTCTCATCCTGAGCGACTCGAGTATCTGTACTTCGACACAGTACTGCTCCTGCGTGCTGTAGCGCGTCTAGGCACGTACCTCTCCGCATATGACTACTGTGGTACTGGTACGCATGAGGACGACGCCGCCACTCTCGCCATGTTGGGCAAGGTGATCGGCATAGCGCGTGCGGTTGGCAAGTTTGACGAAACCGTTCTCTTCCGTGGCGAAGACGCGGATGTAAGTTGTCCAACTCGGGTTGATAGCATTGTCCTGACGTCTTGTCCAGATCTTGAAGGTGGAGTTCAAGGAGCACTTCCGGAATGTGTCTCGGATCATGGACTGCGTGGGATGCGACAAGTGCCGCCTCTGGGGCAAAGTGCAGACCACCGGTGTAGGTACAGCATTGAAGGTTCTCTTTGAGCTCGATGAAAAAGCGCTAGAGTACGTCCTCCCTACTAACCTGATCCACTCCTGGCTGATAATGTGACGCAGTCCGCGTGCCAATTCAAACTTACTTCAACGTTCGGAAGTCGTCGCCCTGGTCAACACGCTGCACCGCTTCGTCGAGAGTGTCATGTATGTCAACAAGTTCCGTCGCATGTGGGCGGATATGGACCCGCAAGAGGAAGATGCCCTCATCCGTGATACACAAGCGGATGCTCAGGCAGCGACCCGCTCTGCACCAAAGGTGAAATTCCTGCATGCTCACGCCTCTCGCCAGCTTACTGATCTTGACGTGACACATAGCCTCACCGATCTCCCGTCGCAGGCTCGCAAGATGTCCACGACAACTTCTTAGAAAACGTCATTGCTCGCATCGCATGTTGGATGCGTGCCTGCAAAGACGGCACAGTCGGGTGTTTCCAGGGGCTGTTGGATGGCCTACAGGCGGTACTGGATGGCCTGAAGAGCATATTCCAGTTGTCCGGAAAGGACCAGGTACCTCGAAGCGATTTGTAGGTAATGGTGTTGGACTGCTTTACTGCAGTTTGCTCTACTTCTACTATACGTGTACATTATAGTTATTGTAGGAAGGGACACTATTCGAGCACAATCTCTACATCATCGATCCCATTGTCTTGTCAATAAATCTCAGCATTGGCAGGCCATCGGGCGTGTCACAGGTCATATACGTGCAGCATTCAGCATTTGTAAGGCAGTGTAGCCAAGTGGTTACGGCGTCACGTTTAGGTCTGAGGACAAAACCGTGATGGGTTTCCCGCGCGAGTTCGAATCTCGTCACTGTCATAGAAGCAGGCAAAAGTACCTTCATTTTTTGGCCTCTTGATTCCTTGTTGTTATGTCGTATTTTCGATGTAAATTACTGGCTGACGCCTTAGTGAGAAAAGCATCGTCTGGTTCTTAGTGAGAAATTGTATTTAGGTGGAATCATTGCCGTTCCTGAGGCAGTAAGGTCTATTCGGCAGAAATTCATCCCGGTCTGTAGGCGCTTAGTAACTGCACATCGCAGTCTTCAGCCACTTTGGGCTCCTTCTCACCACTGGCTCGTAGTTAGTGAATACTCTGACTTCGCGATAGATGGCTTCTGCTTCAGGTATGTCATATGTATACTCTGTTAAAGCAAAAGCTCACATCCCAAAGCCACCGGCAAGCTTTCACGCGAAGAATTTCGTCGGCAGAAGGACCTTGATGCTGCTCGTAAGGCTGGTACGGCCCCAGCTGCTCTAGATGAGGAGGGGAAGGCCATCAACCCCCATATCCCTCGTACGTGTACAACTACGCATGTTTGTACTATCGGTACTGACTGACCATGTGCAGAATATATTGCACAAGCACCATGGTACCTCGACACAGGTGCCCCCTCGCTCAGCCATCAGCGCATCCCCGAGTACGACCGCTCTGCCGACAAGCTCGACAACTGGTACGACCGAGGCGCAAAGGCAGGTCCCGCTGCGAAGAAATATCGCAAGGGTGCTTGCGAGAACTGCGGCGCCCTGACACACAAGAAGCAGGACTGCCTCGAGCGGCCACGCAAGAAGGGCGCCAAGTACACTAACAGGGACATCGCGCCGGACGAAATCGTCCAGGACGTTGCCCCGGGGTACGATGCGAAGCGCGACCGGTGGAACGGGTACGACCCCTCGGAGCACCGCAAGGTGTACGACGAGTATGCGGCGGTCGAGGCTGCGCGGCAGAAGCTGCGCGAGGAGGAGATCGACAAGCAGACGACGACGGACTTGGCTGCGGTGCGGAAGGTGGCGAAGGTGGGCAAGGAGAAGGGCGAGAATCGGGACGATGACTTCGGGAGCAGCGACGACGAAGACGAGGATCAGGACAAATATGCTGAGGCTGCGGACGCCGTGGGGCAGAAGCTCGATACGAAGACCCGTATCACCGTCCGTAATCTGCGTATCAGAGAAGACACCGCCAAATACCTCATCAACCTCGACCCGTCGAGTGCGTACTACGACCCGAAGACACGTTCCATGCGTGACAACCCGCTCAAGAATGTAACACCGGAGGAGGCACTGTTCGCTGGCGATAACTTCTTGCGCCACTCGGGTGAGGCTCCCGAGGTGCAGAAGCTGCAACTCTTTGCATGGAACGCGGCTGCCCGGGGGAACGACGTCCACATGAACGCGAACCCGACGCAGGGTCAGCTGCTACACCACGAGTTCCAGAAGAAAAAGGAGGAACTCAAGGATATGACGAAAGTCAGCATCCTGGCGAAGTACGGAGGAGAGGAATACCTCGAGAAGGCACCGAAGGAGCTCCTCTTGGGTCAGACGGAAGAGTACGTCGAGTTCTCGCGGACGGGCCAGGTTATCAAGGGCAAGGAGCGTGTAAAGACACGATCGAAGTACCCGGAAGATGGTAAGCCCCGCCGCCTGCATTTTCACATCTTAGGTGCTGACGTGCATGTAGTTTACATCAATAACCATACGCAGGTATGGGGATCGTGGTATGATCCTGGATCCGGGCAGTGGGGCTACGCTTGCTGCCACTCTATAGTGCACGTGTCGTATTGCACTGGCGAAGCCGGTATTGCCGCTGCACAGGCTTCGAGTGCTAAACACCTCCTTGCGTCGACTTCTACATCTTCCATGCCGCCACCCGCAGAGTCAACACCACCACCACCAGTGGAAGATAGAAAAGAAGACCGCAAGAAGAAGGCAGAGGAGCTGTTCTCGAAGCGACGACTAGGAGAGGGCGAGCTGAAGCTTGACCAGAACCGGCTTGTAGAAGCGATCGGCGAGGAACGCAAGCGGAAGGCCCGTGCGGAGGACGATCGGTGGGGCAAACGACCTAAAGGTGAACCCAGTGGTAGTACAAGCCACGAGGTCACGGAAGAGGAACTTGGTAAGTCATCCTCGCGCATGTTGTTTGTATCGCTCATACTGAGCCATGCTTCCAGAGGCGTATCGTATGAACCGTCGGATGACGGACGACCCTATGGCCAATTATGTGGACACAGGTGCATAATATGCCATTTGTATTGTATTTGTACTCTTTCTATTGCATCTATCACGACTGCTATCTTTGAAGCATTGCGTCCGAACTTGATCTCGATGATGCACCGCCAAGCACCTCGTATATTTGTTGACGATCTTCGTCAACCCCGTTAGGTGCCCCTGCGAATGTCTGACATGAATCTGATTCCGATGAGCCCAAGCGATGAACAAGTAGATGTTCCAAACTCAAACCGCAGGCCTGGCAGCTCAGCCACAATCTGTTATCTCATAGGTGTGAGCTTTGAATTTAAGCCAATTACTCTACCCGGTGTTGTGTGAACCTGCCAAGTCGTCTGGTAGTGATGAGGCGAAGTGTCTGTAACCTGGGTACGGAGGACGGGCGCGATCTCACGGAAGCTAGGAGGATGCGCGGAGGCGAGGCTGTGCAGCGGTGCACGGCGCGCGTCCAATGCCATCGTGGCTCGCTTGACAACAATTTTGACGCTCACAGGCTCTCCTCGCCGTTCGGCGTCATCACAGCCACGTTCCGCAGGTGGATTATAATGTAACCAGTGCGTCTCTCGCTCTTATTCTCTTCTTCCCGCTCAACTTGTAACTGACCACCATGAAGCTCCGGCTATCCACACCGTCGCTACTGCTCTATGTCTCCTTCCTGCTCGAGCTGCAAGATGTCGGCGCATCGCTCAGCCTGCCCATCGTGGGCCGCCGGCGAGAGGCGCATGTGGGGCTCGCGAGGCGCAGCAGTATGAGCGGCGCGAACCTCCAGGACTCGAGCGACCTCGACTACTATACTAACATCACGCTCAACGGGACGCAGAACACAGTGCTCGTTGATACCGGCAGGTGAGCACCTTCCTAGCTGCTCGATGCGTCGAGCGAGGTAGTGACATTGCTGCGCAGCTCCGACCTGTGGGTTGCGGGCAGCATACCCGGCGCAGCAGACTCGGGCCACACGGCGTCCGTCAACTATGCTCTGGGAAATGTGGACGGACCAATCAAGTTCGCCGATCTCGAATTCGACGGGTATAGCGTAGAGAACCAGGCGTTCAGTAAGTCGTTCGTTCTACCATTGTGGCGCATATCTGATGGCCAATGTGCACAGTCGAGGCAAACATTGATCCTTCACATCCCGGAGGACAGGGCATCATCGGACTGGGGCCTAACAGTGGTTCGGAGGTCCACAGCACCATCAACAATCCCTCCGGCGACGCTGTCCTCGACCGCATCTTCCGCGCCAACACGTCCGCGCCGAACATCCTCACCATCCTCCTCGGTCGGGCAGACGACCCGTCTGAGCCCTTCCCCGGCGAGATTACCGTCGGCAGGACGATCAGTGGGTTCGAGAACATCACGAGCCAGCCGAAGCTGTCTGTGCGCGACGACAGCGACTCCGTCAACCAGCACTGGCAGACGCTGACGGACAAGAACGGGATCCTTGGGCCGGATGGGCAGCCGATCTCTGTATCCTCGGGCGTGAAGGGCGCACCAAGCGGCCAGCTCGTGACGGTGTTTGATTCGGGGTTCTCGTTGCCGCAGGTACCAAAGTACGTGGGGGCCAACCTCTTGCGTGTGCGCTTCGCTGACCTGTATCAGAGCCGTCGCGGATGGGATATACGGACGCTTCCCGCAGGCCTCCTTCCAAAATGTTACGCAGGCGGGTCTTGGCCCCGTGTGGACGCTCCCCTGTGACGTCGAGGTCAACATCACCTTCAAGTTCGGTGGCGTTTCTTTCCCCATTCACCCGCTCGACACGAACTACGACGACGGGTTCGTGTACCCGAACGGGACGAAGTTCTGCGTCGGAGCATTCCAGCCCATTCAGTCCGGCGCGGAGAGTTCAGACTACGACATGATCCTTGGGATGGCCTTCCGTGAGTCTCAGTAGCCGTCCGTTGTGTGCGGTCGTCTGACCTGCCCTTGGCCCGCAGTCCGCAATGCGTACCTGCTCGTCAACTTTGGCGACTTTGTCGACGGATCATCGTCGAACACCGCCGCCCCATACATTCAGATGCTCCCCGTGACATCGCCCTCAGCCGCACATGACGACTTTGTCCAGGAGCGTCTCGACGGCAATGACAGCGGACAGAACTTCCAGCTGCTGCCTGCCAACCCCGATGGCGACGGCGACGACGACAGCGACAGCAAGTCGTTCTCACAGAAGATCAAGCCATACCTCCCCTACATCATTGCGGGCAGCATTGTTGTCGGCCTGCTGCTCGTCGGCAGCATCATCTGGTGCTGCGTGAGGAGCCGCCGCCAGCGCTATCGCCCATTGCACGACCCTGCTCCCATCGGTGCGACATACGAGCACGCACCACCACCGTTTGCGAGCTACCAGCCGCGCCGCCGCTACTAAAGGACTGATCTACTGCGATTTATGGGTTCACGCTACTTGGACTCGGTGTACATTGCTTTTTCCCGCTCGTTGCTTGCTATTTGCTTCGTTGTTGCACATACTAGTCCGGACATTGCGCATATAGTGACTGTTGCATAAGTTATTGTAGATTACTGACACATCGAGATGTTTTGCGAAGTCGCGATCGCATACCGAATATACATCACCCTCCGCCGCACACGCACCCAGATGCTCCCCGTGACATCGCCCTCTCTCGCACACGACGACTTCGTCCCAGAGCGTCTTGACGGCAATGACAGCGGACGACTGCTGCCTGCTAACTCCGACGGCGATGGCGACAGCGACAGGAAGTCGTTCTCGCAGAAGATTAGGCCAGACCTCCCCTACAGCATTGCTGGCAGCATAATCCGGTGCTGCGCGGGGAGCCACCGCTAGCGCCATCGCCCATTGCACGACCC